CGAACTTTCACCACAACGATCCCCTCTGAATCTCAACCACGACCTCTGTTGTCAGTGTCCCCTAAGGACAGAAATCAAAATACCCTCTCCCTACTTCCTCCTCTGCAACAAGACCTTCCCTCCGAAATTCCACTATAGCGATTCCCTCTGAAATCTCAGCTACGATCTCCGTTACCAACACACAGAAATCAAAGCACGGCCCTCCTCCAAAGTTCCTAAATATTACCCCCTTGTTCAAGTTGGTACAAAGAACAGCTAAATCGGTCTCCCTCCTCCCTCAAACTACGGCCGAATTATTTACTAATCGATCGGGAGAAGGGTAGAAACGCACAACGGTTCCTTGGTACTCTTAGTCGCCAAAGTCAACCGAGTCAATGCATATGACCGCCTTCGCCGACTCGGACACTTTGCTACGCGATGATCCTGTTTCCCGTTCCGATCATTCGTTCACTGTCGATTTTTTTTCGCGGATTCTTCGAATCTTTGAGGTTGAAGACTGTGAACAATGCCCCCTTCCTTATTTCTTTGATAATCATTTGTCACGAGTGGGTGCATGCAACGACTTCATTTATCGTCATAGCAGACCCGGCGGATAATACTCACTCGAGGTATCTGAAGTTTTTTTTTCAACGCTTGAGCTGAGCTTCCACGAAAAGGTCTGATCATCGTAACGGCCATCAAGAGAATCCCTTGACGTCTGAATGAATCAAGTGATAGCACTCTGATCCGTCGGTTGTCACCAAGTGGCATGGCTCCGACTATTGACAGAATTTGGGGTTCTTTCTTCATGCGCGATATTCCACGATAAGGTCGTAGGTCGAAGAAGGGAAAACCCACCTAGTAGGAAGATAGGCGCACCTCTGAAAGGTGCGGACCGACACGCAATTCGCAGCGAAGGAGATGCCCCGGCGATCTAGCATGGTCGTCCCCGCGCCACCATCTCCTCGGCACGCCCACTTTCGCCGTCCAAGCTTTTGGCCGTTCAGCAGAGAGAGTATGAGCATTTGAGAAGGCACATCAATGCGGAAATCAACGGGCAAAGAAGTATGGCCCATTTCACGGGTTCAGAGCCTTTTTCATGTTTGTTCTTCATCAATGAGGACTGACCACCTCTACGTTCATTTCTATTGGCTGCCGTTTCATCG